ACAAGGGAGTTGATACTGGCTAAATATCAGGAGAAACTTCCTAACTGTAAGAGTGGTTGAGCAGTGGAACAGACTGCCTCCGGAGGTGGTGGATGCTCCGTCGCTGGACGTTTTCAAGCGGAGGCTGGACGACCATCTTTCGGATATGTTGTAGGTATGTAGGGCTATCTTTCAAGCTATGCACCTGCAGAGTGCAGGGGGTTGGACTAGATGACCTGCAAGGTCCCTTCCAACTCTAACATTCTATGATTCTGACGCAGCCAACCTTGGTTAGCTTCCAGGATCTGACCAGATCAGGCTAGCCTGGGCAGGGCAGGGCTGCAGAAAAACACAACTTTGTAAATTAATCAAAAGACACACACACAGTAGAAAAGAGCCAGAGTCCAGAAGCTCCTTAAAGACTCACAAAATCTGTGGCAGGGGAGGAGCTTTCGTGAGTCACGGCTCACTTCTCCGGATATCTGACTCACGCAAGCTGACTCACCCTGCCACATATTTTATTAGTCTTTCGGGTGCTCCTGGACTATTCCTCTTTTCTACTGTTAAAGGTAAAGGTTCCCTTGCTCGAAAGCCAGTCGAATCCGACTCTAGGGTTGCGGTGCTCATCTCCGTTTCAAAGCCGAAGAGCCAGCGCTGTCCGAAGACGTTTCCGTGGTCATGTGGCCGGCATGACTAGACACCGAGGCGCACGGAACGCTGTTACCTTCCCCCCAAAGCGGTACCTATTTATCTACTTGCAATTTCTTGCTTTCGAACTGCTAGGTTGGCAGGAGCTGGAACTAGAAACGGGAGCTCACTCCGTTATGCGGCACACTCGGGTCTCGAACAGCCTGCAGTTCAGCGTCTTGACCACTTGAGCCACCGCAGCTCCTACAGCTTTCTACAGTTACAGACTAACACGGCTACCCATCTTGATCTGTCCACACAGACACACTTTTAATAATCTGGTGGTGAAAACTTCCACGTTGCTTTTTGTTTTCCCCTCCCCCCGTGATCCCTCACCTTGTTGCTATACTAACAACCGTAAAAGGATTTTGTGCCCGCAATACCTGGACCCTTCAGCTGTTTGGAAAACCCTAATAATAATTAAGTGCAGTAAAGTCACAACCCACTTATGGAGACTCCTCCTCATGGGGCTTTCCAGGCAAGAGAGGAGTGGAGGTGGTTTGCCGTCACCTGCGTCTGCGTAGTGACCCCAGTCCCATTCGATGTTAATTGTGGCCCACCCTGCTTCTTTTCCAAGCTGAAATGAGCTTGGGCTCGTCTGCGCCGGTCAGACTGCTACAGACCACCATCGTCTTTCCCTTTTCACAGATTAAAGCAACAGGTAGTTCGGGGTGATCTGCAAAGCTGCTTCTCTTTCTTCACTGGATTTGTTTCCACGGGAGAGGCTTGTCTTTCACTACGCAGGGCCTGCCCTGGAAAATGCCTTGCGGGAGTCAAGCGAGACGCTTCTCTCCCCAATGTGTTGGGAGCCCATCTCAGCTCCAGCCAGGACCTTGGGGCCGGCACACCTGGCGGCCAGACAGGGGTCACAGCAAGCAGGGCTTCTCCTGGCCGCTCCCACCTTTCCTGGTGTTAACATTCCACACCCCCGAGTCTGCATTTAAAACGTTTTCTTCCACAGTCCCACGCCACAAACAACCCAGAAAAACTAACACAGTCCATTAAAAATAAAGATTGTATTAGCTTTCATTCCTTACAATCACACGACAGTTAAAAATTACAGATCTGATGCAAATACTTCTTGAAACTTGGCAATTTAACAAAGGTACGGAGTGAGGTTTCATTAGCCCCAATCATGGGGATTTTTCTTAAAAGTAGAAAGTCCTTCATATTAACCTTTGGCACTTCGTAGCAGAATGGGAACCCAGGTCCTAACAGGAGTGCCTGTAATTGTTTGTGCAGCAAAAGAACCCAGCAAAAGAGCATCCTTTTCCCAGCCTGATACCCGCTGAAAACCCACAAGCAAAGAATGAAGGCAACAGCCCTCCCCACCAGCAACTGGTGCTTCAGGGGTATACTGCCCCTGGACATGGAAGTTCCAGTTTAGTAATAGCTGTCCACCCAGCAAAAGAGCATCCTTTTTCCAGCCTGGTGCCCCAGGAAAACCCACCAGCAGAGAATGAAGGCAGCAGCCCACCCCACCAGCAAGTGGCGCTTCGGGGGTATACTGCCCCTGGACATGGAGGTTCCAGTCAACTAGTAATAGCTGTGGGCAGCTTTGTCTTCTACGACAGAGCCAAGAGCACTGCAGAGAGCAATGGGAAGTCTTTGCCCCCGGAAGTGTCCAAATACTCTGAAATGCGCAACCTTGTACGTAAGCAGGCACCACTTAATACTGGCCACGTGAGCCCAAAGGGGCTCTGCTTCATCCCACCGGCGAGGGCTGCGGCGAGTCTCTTCAAAGACGGAGGGGCTTCATTCACAAGCCTCCAGACTGTTGCTCTAGTAACCCTGAGAAAGGAAATGCAAGGCAGCCCTTCCGGACCTCCTTCCTGACGCACAAGATCAGCAGCAGCAAGCACCACGGCTCCAGCGGGCTGAGCGCACCGACCGACCGGAGGGGCTCAGTGGGGCCAGAAGCACTTCTGCGGGTCAGAGGGGGGAGGCTTCAGGCACTTGCCCAGCTTCTCGCAGCCTGGAGGGGCCCAGTTCTGTGGCAAGAGAAAGAGAACCATGGTCAACTGTGAGCATTTCCAAGCACTTCATGATTGGGGGGGGGGGGCGCGCTGGCTGAGAGAACCCTGTGCCCCCAGACGGCCAGAAAGCAAGCAAGCAAGCACTGTACAAATAACACAGACCACAAGTGCTCAAAAAGTCATGCAAAAAGAGTATATAACAAGAATAAGAAAGGACCACATATATCAGGCTTACCAACTATTGGAGAGTTTGTTCTATTGCTGATCGAGTGATTATAATAGGATTGAGTTTTCCCCCTGTAATACTGGTCTGAAGGCTTTTATACACTGTGAGTTCTGTGCTAAGGATTTTTCCTTCTACATATACCATTCTAAAGTCTTCTGTACATTATGAGTACTTCATGAAGTAGTGTGAACTTCTTGAAGAAGAGCTATCGAAACGAAGATCAAAATCCGGAGTCTTCGTCTTTGTCTGTGTACCATTTATGGACTTGCATTAGTCATGGACCTGTACGTTACATGATGTAATTTGGTTTTACTGATATATGTGGTCCTCTGTTGTTCTTGTTATATAAATTTACTCTTTTTGCACGACTTTTTGAGCACTTGTGGTTTGCGTTATTTGCACAGTGCTTGCTTGCTTTATTGTATACTGTGATATCCCTCAGACGGCCAGCCAGCCCGCATGCAGAGGCCCAGAACGACACGGCTTTGGGACCAGGAAAATGTACCGGTATTCGTTCACTTCATTTACAGACTGCATTTCTCATTGCGCCTTGAGGTGGGTTACAGAAAACCAGCCCACTCGGGAATACCCCCCCCCCGTTTCTCCCTTTGTGGGGGGCCTGCTTTTGCCGGGTGTGGCACTGCCTGGAATCCTTTCTGCAACAGCTGCTTGGCGCCAGTTTGGTAACAAAGACCTGAGCCAGGATGAAGAGGAGAAGACGAAGAAGAGATTGGATCTATGCCCCCCGCCCTTCACTACCCAAGGGAGTCTCAGAGCAGCTTACAAACTCCTTTCCCTTCCCCTCCCCGCAACAGACACCCTGTGAGGCAGGTGGGGCTGAGAGAGCTCTTGACAGAACTGTCCTTGAGAGAACAGCTCTGGTCAGAACTATGGAAAGAAGTAAACAACCGTGATGTATTATGCCCGCTCGCGGGGTAGGGCGGGGTAGAAATACCTGAATAAATAAAATAAATAAATAAATGCCAAAAAAGTCTCCAAAGACCAGAAATTTCTTTTTCCAATATTTCAGTTTACTGGTTTTGATGAGTGTCACTATGAGATACTACTAGAGAGTTTGTCAAATGGATTAATATTGTGTCAAAAAGAATGCCAACACCATAGCACGGTGATGTGGAATGCGAGCGCGGCGGAGCCTAAGGGACACAGCCGAGGCCGAAGCAGACATGGACCATGCTCCTGGACGGTCCCACCGAAAGAAGCCACCATGACCCACCCCTGGACGCAAGGACGAACGTGCCAATCAAAGACCGCCTGGGAAAGAAAGGAGCCGAGTCGGAAAAAGAAAAAAACAGGCTCACCACCTGGGTGCAGGTAGGCAGCCCCGTCCCTGAACTATGTGGCCCTAGTTTGGGGAAAAGTGTTCTTAGAACCCTCTATGTAAACCGCCCAGAGACCCCTCGGGGTCAGGGCGGTATAGAAGTTGAATGAATAAATAAATACATAAATAAATAAATAAATAAATAGCTAGCTAGCTATGAGTTGCCGTAGCCCGGAGGGAGGACAAAGACCCTCCCTGCCAAGGATCGCAGGAGGGGCAGACGTGTGCTGACAGAACGTGGCCTTCTGCCACCTGATGCCCGGAAGGGACTTTGGCGGGGCTGGGGGAGGAGCCGGAAGCTTCGAGGAGACTTCACCAGCCCCTCTGACGCTTCCACTTCTGCAGTCCCTTTGGACCACTCAGCGGTGTCCATGTGGCCAGCTGCCACTCAATTCCTTGCCCCGCCTCCCACTCTGGACAAAATACAGGAGGGTTCAGACCCCGGGGGGGGGCAATGCAGCTGTGGACATGCCATCGGGGCACCTCCTGCCATACGGTTCACGCCTGTGTTCAATTTCTGTGGGTACAGGATAGGAATGTGGAGATGCAGGAGGACGCTGGGGAGAGGGCAGACGTGTGAGAGCCGCAGCCCTTGGGGGTGGCTTGCAAAGGAGGTGAAGATGGAGAACCTCACACTGTCCAGCGTGGCTTGGGAAGGTTGTAGAAGGAGGGTGTGGACCCAACCCCTCCCCCCTCCCAAAGGCAGGGGTCATTTCCTGCAGGAGCGCAAAGGAGCGGAGCTCCGGCAGTAAAGAGCCCAGGGGGCGGGCATATGCAACAAGCCCCACCCCCTGCTCCCAGCAGCCCTCAGTCAGAGCAAGAAGCAGCCAGGTAAGTTGCAGGATTTAAAGCCCCGTCCCCATCCGGCTTCACGGCATATTTCCGCTAGAAGCGGCGCCAAGAGCCAAGCGTCAAAATTCCCATGCCAACAGCCCGGGCAGTCCCCCCCCCCCCCCCCCCCCCCCCACTCTCCGGCGGGTGCG